CCCGCCCCCCCGCCCGCCCCCTCGGGGGGACGGACCCGCCGCGCCCGCCCCGGGACCCCCGGCTCGGAAACAGCCGCCGGGGCGGGTGATTAACGGGGGGCGCCGGGCCCGGCGGGGCGGGACGCGGGGAACCCCGGCGGGCGCGTTGGAAAGGGTGGGAAAATGGAAAACGGGGAGAATCCCGGAGGATCCGCACGCCCGCTCGCTGCCACCGGCGCGGGAATGTAAACGGAGCGCGGCGGCCGGCCAAAAAAGGCCAGGAAAAGGAGGCACGTCCCACCGGGAAGAGGGAGACTCCGGGGAGACTTTTGCCCTTGCATTTTGTTTCCCCCAAGATWTGTAATGCAAATATCCCAAGGGGGGATCATTCCATGTTTTTTTTGCCACTGCGGACGGTCGCTGCAGCAGCAAGTGCCCCTCGGAAGCGGCTCCCGAGGAGACTCCGGCGTCAGATTTAATAGGATCRAGATTGTTGTCGATCCCACTGCAACAGCAGCCCTTGCGAGAGACATTTTTTGCCTCCCAAACACCTGTTTGGGAAGAGAAATTGAAAAAGAAACAACCCCAAAACACCCCGAACRGCAGAGAAGCCGCCCCAAGACAGGCCGGGCGCCCCGCACTTTGCAGCCAGGGCCCCGGTTAAAAACAAAACCCATGGAAAGGCAGAAACGGGGCTGGGAAGTGGTCAGGAAGGGAGGAAAAGAGGGGAAATGGTGTTTTTGCTTCTTTTTTGCCGTGTTTTGGAACCCAAGAGCACCACGGGCCCAAGCCACGGGTCTGGGAGGGCAGAGCCGATGCCGATGCCGATGCCGATGCCGATGCCGATGCCGATGATGATGGTCCAGGTACCAGCAAGCTCCCCTGGCGCTCCAACACGTAACGTTCCCGCCATTCCCTGCCGCTCCCCCCAACCCGAGGAGCTAACAAACTCCGAAGGACCCTCGCTCTAAGGCAAATAGATTCACTTTTCTATATAATACATATATATGTGTGCGCTAAACACGCACCACACCCGGTCTGCTCCCCGCGCGACGGAAAGTTGCTGGGAAAGTGCTCCTTTTGGGGAATAAAAACCCGGGACTGGCGCTGCGCGCGTGGCGGTGCCGCCTGATGCTGCGGCGTTCCCGGGATCCCGCGTCCCTCCCTCTGGATCCCTCCCCCTGGATCCGGGGCCCCTCCTCCTGGATGCCGCCCGGGATCCCGCCCCTGTGTCCCGGATCCCGCCCCTGTATCCCGGATCCCGCCCCTGTATCCCGGATCCCGCCCTATGTCCCGGATCCCGCCCCGTGTCCCGGATCCCGCCCCTGTGTCCCGGATCCCGCCCCGTGTCCCGGATCCCGCCCCTGTGTCCCGGATCCCGCCCCGTGTCCCGGATCCCGCCCCGTGTCCCGGCGCGCGCCGGCGCCGGGCGCGCTCCCACGTGGTCTAGCGGTGAGGATTCCTGGCTTTCACCCAGGCGGCCCGGGTTCGACTCCCGGCGTGGGAAGCGGCAGCCGCTGCTCCCTTTTCCTTTCTTCCTTTCTTTCTTTTCCTCGGGATTCACGCGGGTATGGAGAGCGGGGCCGGGCTGCGGGAGCGGGAAGGATGTGCGGGATGGATCCCCTTGGTGCAACGCGCCCRTTCCCCACGCAGGGCCCTGGAGTGCTGCGTGTGCCCTCTCCACTCCAYGCAATAACCTGGAGCACTGCATGAGCCCCCCTTGCTCCATTAAATGTCCTGGAATGCTGCCTGTGCCCCCCTACTCCATGCAATGTCCCAGAGCACTGCATGTGCCGCCCTTGCTCCATTAAATATCCCAGAGCGCTGCATGTGCCCCCTTGCTCCATGCAACATCCCAGAGCGCTGCATGTGCCCCCTTGCTCCATTAAATGTCCTGGAATGCTGYCTGTGCCCCCCTGCTCGGTGCYGGGCCCCCGAGCGCGGCATTTGCCCCGGCTCTATGAATAGCCCGTCGCGGATCCCGTGGTGCCGGCGACATCCCGGCTTGGCTCCGAGCCGCCTGGAGCGGGGCCCGGTGCGGCRGGCGGCCGCGCGCRCYCTGCCAGCCTCGGAGCGGGATCGTTCCCAGGTGCCGCCGCCGCTCCGGCGCTTCCCGCATGCACAGGATGGGGGAGGCCGTGGCCAGGGTGGCGCRGCGCGTCAACGACACTGTGGAGAACCAGCTGGACACGCTGGGTGAGAGCGGGAGGACAAAGCACGTCCCTGCGGCGGCCGGGGCGCTTCCCGCCGGGATCGGGGCTGGAAGCGCCGCCCGCTTTTCCACAGACCTGTCCGGGTGCAGCCTGGTCGCCTTCCCCGAGGGTGTGTGCAAGGCGGCGCGGCGCGCGGCCCACGCCGTGCGCCGCCTCTCGCTGGCCCACAACGAGCTGCGCGCGCTCGCCGGCTGCCTGGCCGCCACCTTCGCGCGGCTGCGAGGTGAGCGCGGCGCGCGGCGCGCGGCCGGAGCCTCCCGCGGCACGCGGAGCGAGCGGCCCCGGCCGTGTCCCCGCAGAGCTGGACCTCGAGGGCAACCTGCTGCAGCGGCTGCCCGAGGAGCTGCGGCGCCTGCAGGAGCTGCGCGTCATCAACCTGGCGCGCAACCGCTTCCGCAGCTTCCCGGAGCCGCTGGCCGCGCTCGGCGCGCTGCACACCGTGCGCCTGGAGCACAACGGCATCGCGGGTGAGCGCCGCGGCGGTGGTGCCGGCGGGGCCGGGGCCGGTGCCGCCGGCGCCGACGCGCGGTCCCTGTCGCCCCGCAGAGGTGCCCGCGGAGCTGCTGGCCGCCATGGGCGCCCTGCGGCGCCTCGACCTGCGGCACAACCCGCTGCGCGGCGCCCCCCGCGCGCCCGCCCACGTCCTCGTGGCCCTCGACGCCCATTAAACACGCGCGCGCGCGCGGCTCCCGGCCCTGTGGCGAGTTCTGTTCAGCGCCGGCGGCGGGGGACGGGCGGGAGGCTCCGGCAGCCCCGGCATCCCSGTCGCCATGGCGACGGGAGGAGCGCATCCGTGGGGAGCCGAGCGAGGGGGCGGACGGGGGCGGACGGGGGGGGGGCTGCGCCGATGCGGCGGATGCGGCGGACGGGGGGGGATCCGCACGGTGACTCATCCGGCCGCTCCGGCGCGGGCGAGCGGCGGATGCGGATTGCAGCTGCCGGAGACGCCCGGCTCGGCGCTCCGCATGCCGGCGCCGCAGGCGGACGCGGGACGCCCCGAGGACGGTGAGTGAACAACACCCCCCTCCCGGCCTTCCTCCCCGCGTCCTCCTCCTCCGGCTGCTCTCCCGCACCGCGGSAAGCGGCTTGGAGGGGGACGCGCCGCCTGCAGGAGCGGAATGCCGCCACGGCCCCTCCCGCGGGAGCCCCCCGGGAAGGAGGACCCGTGCGTTCTTGCCTCCCGCAGGCGCCGTCAACGCGAGCTGGCGGGAGCCGCGCGGCAACGTCACCTTCTCGCCCTACTACCAGCACTCGGGCGCGGTGGCGGGCGCCCTGGTGGCCGCCTACGGCCTCCTCTTCGTGGCGTGCGTGGCGGGCAACGCGCTCGTGTGCCTCACGGTGCTGCGCAGCCGCCGCATGCGCACGGCCACCAACACCTTCATCCTCAACCTGGCCGTCAGCGACCTCCTCGTGGGCATCTTCTGCATGCCCACCACGCTTGTGGACAACCTCATCACGGGTGAGGGAAGCGGGCCGCGCGGGAGGCGGCGTTGGGGGCTGCTCCGCCCCGAGCGGACAGGGGCGTCGCGGCCGCCGCGCTCCGGCACCGCCGGACACCGAGAGCGGCCGGATGGGCCGTGGGCTTCGCGCGAGCTGCCTCCGTGCCGCCAGGGTGGCCCTTTGGCAACGCCATGTGCAAGATGAGCGGCCTCGTGCAGGGCATGTCCGTCTCGGCGTCTGTCTTCACGCTGGTGGCCATCGCCGTGGAAAGGTGCGTTGGCCAGCGGGGGCTTCCACATGTTGGGCCCTCCACAAGGTCAGGACGGAGGTCCTCCTGGCTCAGGAGCCAATGCATTGGGTCTTGGGAAGGGTCGGGTCTTCAGGAAGAGTTGGGTCTTGGGAAGGGTCAGGTCTTGGGAAACRTTGGGTCTTGGGAAGGGTMGGGTCTTCGGGAAGAGTTGGGTCTTGGGAAGGGTCGGGTCTTCAGGAAGAGCTGGGTCTTGGGAAGAGTTGGGTCTTCAGGAAGAGTTGGGTCTTGGGAAGGGTTGGGTCTTGGGAAGGGCTGGGTCTTCAGGAAGAGTTGGGTCTTGGGAAGGGTCGGGTCTTGGGAAGAGTGGGACGGCTCCCATTGGGGAGATGGGAAGGGAACCCAAGGGAAGCGGCTGGCGGATGGTGCCTCCTTGGTGCCCATCGTGCATGGCCTCCCTCCGTCCCCTGCACAGGTTCCGCTGCATCGTGCACCCGCTCCGCGAGAAGCTGACGCCGCGCAAGGCGCTGGCGACCATCGCGGCCATCTGGGCGCTGTCGCTCGCCATCATGAGCCCGTCGGCGGCCACGCTGACGGTGACGCGGGAGGAGCGGCACCTGGCGCTGGACGCGCACAACGTCTCCCACGCGCTGTACGCGTGCTGGGAGGCCTGGCCGCGCGCGGGCATGCGGCGCGCCTACACCGCCGTGCTCTTCGCGCACATCTACGCGGCGCCGCTGGCGCTCATGGTGGCGCTCTACGCGCGCGTCGCCCTCAAGCTCTGCGCCGCGGCGCCCGCGGCGGCGGGGGAGCGCGTGCCGCGGCGCAAGGCGCGCGTGGTGCACATGCTGGTGGCCGTGGCGCTCGTCTTCACGCTCTCGTGGCTGCCGCTGTGGACGCTGACGCTGCTGGCGGACTACGGGCGCCTGAGCGAGCGGCAGCTGCGCCTCGTGGCCGCCTACGCCTTCCCGCTCGCGCACTGGCTCGCCTTCCTCAACAGCGGCGTCAACCCCGTCATCTACGGCTACTTCAACGGCAACTTCCGACGGGGCTTCCGAGAGGCGTTCCGGGCGCCCTGCCGCGCCGCCTCGCCCTCCGCACGCGGGCACGGGCGCGCCGCGCTCTTCGGTGCCCGCAACCGCGTCTTCGCCACCGCCGCCGCGCACAGCAGCGACTCCGACGCGCCGCCGCCACCGCCACGCTCCGGCGGTGTCCCTGCCTGGGGCCTCTGAGCGCTCACGGGCGGCACCGCCGGGAAACGTTCCCAAAAAAGCCGACCCCGCTTCCATCCATGGCGCCACCATCCTGCGGCGCCGCGCGTGGGACTCGAACCCGCGGCCCCGAGAGGCGGCTCGCGGGACTCGAACCCGCGGCCCCGAGAGGCGGCGCGCGGGACTCGAACCCGGGTCCCGCGAAGCGGCGCGCGGAGGGGGCGGGCGGCGGCAGGAGGGAGGAGGGCGGCGCGCGCCTGCGCAGTGGCGCGGCCGTTGGGGGGCGCGGCCGTTGGGGGCGCGGCCGTTGGGGGCGCGGCCGTTGGGGGCGCGGCCGTTGGGGGGCGCGCGCGCGGCGGCCGTTGGAGAGCGCGTGCGCGGCGGCAGCGGCAGCATGGCCGGGTACAGCGTGGAGGAGCGCGCGGCGCCGCACAGCCTCGAGTACCGGCTCTTCTTCAGTGAGTGGCCTCCCCCCCGTCCCCCGCTCCCCGTCCCCCGCGCCGCGCTAGTAACGGCCGCCGTTGCCTTGCAGAGGACGCGGGCGGCCGCTACATCTCGCCCTTCCACGACATCCCCATCTACGCGGATGGCGCCGAGGTAAAGCGGGGGCGGCGGGGGGGGGAAGGAGGCGTTGAAAAAAAAAAAAAGAAAATAATGGAAATTAAAATAAAAAAATGCATTTTTTTTAAAAAAAAAAAAGCGGCCTCGCTGCTGCTTTGGGGCGTGCGTGCGGTTAATGCTGGGCTCGTGGCGCTGAAATGCTGTGTCCGGAGGCGAGCAGGCGCCCGCGGGGCTGCGCAGAAACGCTTTGGGTTACAAAACAGGAGCGTTTTTGCTGTTGAGGAGGAGAGAAGGTGACATCCTCGTCCTGGCAGCTCCCAGGCACCTCCTGCCTTGCAAAAACAGCGGCTGGGGCACCTGCGGTGACACAGGGGTGTTAGGGCCTCCAAGCAGGCAGCGTTTTATCAATTTGGGCAGGTCCTCGGCACCTTCCAAAACCCTAATCTGTGCCCAGGAAGCTGCGGCAGCTCCTCCTGGCTTCCCGCCTTTTCAGCCTTCGCTTGGGCTCTCTGGAGCGGCGTTTTCCCCCTTTGTGGCCTGACTTCTGTTGGAGCAGCAGAGCGGAGGGCACGGAGCCGAGGCGAGCGATAAGCTGAAAGCTTTTTGAACCCCTAATGAGCTCTGAGTCATTCCCTAGCGCTTCCTGGGCACCTGCGGGAGCCCTCTGGGCGAGCTGGGTGAGTCACGGCGGGATCCTGCGTCTCAGCGCGAGCCCCTGCTCTCTGTTCCCTTTCCAAGGGAGAGCCCCACGCGGGTTAGGAGCCACTAACGGAGGGCCCGGCGCTCCTGGTGTCCCCTCAGTAGCCAGGGTCGCCGTGCCAAGTCAGCCAGCGTCACCTGGGTCGCAAAGGCCACCGGCTCCAGCGTTGCACAACTGCACTGAGCGTCGAGGCCTCTCTGGGGAGACCCTTCTCGTTAGGCTCAGTTCAGGCGGTTACYTGGCTCTGCCTGGGGCCCTGCAGAGTCTCAAGTGCCCTCTGTAACCACTCTCAATCCACCTCATTCCTTCAGTTACGTAGTTAAATATACATAGATCCACATGTGAAAAAAAATGTATATGCAGATCCATGCAAACACCCTTCTGCTATAAGTGGGGGTCAGCAGTGACCCTCCCTCTGCACCTCGGGGACACAATAAACTCCTGCGAGGGGAGGCTGAGGGCAAAGTCAATGACATAACAGCACTGACGGCACGATGGCAATCCAATTACGGTGCAGGGGCTTTAAAGTGCCTTGAATTACCTTTCGCAGAGCTCAGACTGCTTAACCTGGGGCTTAGAAAACAGGCTGATGCTGGGGAGCAAGGCYTGACTTCTTGCTAAAAGCATCAGTCTCTTCAGATGGCCAACGGGTCAGATTGCAGCGGGAAGGATCTCGTCTTGGGTGAAGGCTGCAGCTGACACAAGAGGTGTTGATAACCCAGGGTCTCTCTGGTGTTCTGCGTGGATTAAAATAATCTGCGTGGTGACACGCGGCTAATTGGACCCTGGGGCTTCYGGCCTGTGCGCCCAAGCCAGGCACCAAAGAGGCAGAAAGTTACAGCTTGCATGCAACGTACTTAGGTGTGTGTCCCAGTTTACAGTGGGGCCTTGCAATTCCTTCCTGTTAACTGACGGTTTTGCCTTTTTCAGAACGTGTTCAACATGGTTGTGGAAGTGCCTCGGTGGACAAATGCTAAAATGGAGGTAACTGGGTTAAAAATCCCACTCTAAGGATTCACGCTGGCCAGTTTATTAGTCATTGTTGAGTCTCCCTGCCTCTTAGGAGCCTAGGATGGAGGCTGAGGCYTGCAGAAGTCAGAATATGATTTTCCTTCTGTTTCGTTCTATCCTTCTTCTGATTAAAACAGTTTCTAAGGGTGTCAGCCCTGGCTCTGGCTCTGACGTGGATGAGGCTGCCGCTGAAAACTGCCCGTGCAACACAAAATGTTCAGTGTTGACTTTTGGCTTCGGTGCTTACTGTTGGCTTTGGGCCTGCTACCTGGCAGCCAACTGCAGAAAAAGGACTGCTGCCTTTGCTCTGCTTGCTGAGAAMCCCCCCCTTGCAATTATTCCTCCAGATTGCAACCAAGGATCCCTTGAACCCAATTAAGCAAGACGTGAAGAAAGGCAAGCTGCGCTAYGTAGCTAACGTGTTTCCCCACAAGGGCTACATCTGGAACTACGGAGCCATCCCCCAGGTACTGCCGGGGCTCTCTGGGGCTCGTGTTTGGGGCAGGGGGGCAGGGCTGGGCACTGATGAGCTCGCCTGTGTCTCGCGTTGCTACCCAAGCTGCAAGTTCCAGGTGCAGATGAAACCTCTGCTGGACGGGGGCCCGTTGCGCAGTGTTGGAATTAGGTGGCAGGGGGGCACCGCGAGGTCCAGGTACCGCGGGAGGCCCCAATGGCAGCTGCACGGCCGGGTTTTTCCTCGGAATAGCTGGCTGGGGACAGAGCTCTTTATAATAGACCYGTGTCTGCCGGCTGCATAGGTAGGAGCTCCGAGCACGGGTGTCTGCCTGGGAGCTCCTCAAAGCCTGAGGCTCCTGCAGGTAAATAAACCAAACCCCAGCCGGGACCGCAGGAACGCTGTGAACTTTCCAGCTGCGCTTTTGCTAGCTACACGTGGAGCGTTTTCCTGSAGACTTCTTCCAGAACGTGCCAGCCGCTGTTGGGAGCGCTCGAACTTCCTTGTGACTTTGGAAAAGCCTCGAGGCTGAAACAGAGCCGCTCGCCCGGGAGTTATTCTCTCAGCGTGACTTTACTGTTCTTTAGCCTTAAGGTGTTCCCAAGGTTGGCTTGAGGAGCAGATATCGCTGCAGAGGGACGATAAACGAGGAGCGATTTGTTTGTCCTCTCTGGCAACAGGCTTAACCTGGAAATCCTCTGCCCCACTTGACGCCCTGGAGAAAATCTCTTGCATGGCCAGGGAGACAAAGTAGCAGAATTGATCGTCTGGGAATGATTACCCAGAGCCAAACATCTCTCGCGGGGTCTCTCTCCCTGTGATTTTTCTCTCTTCCCTGTGATCTGAAGATTTTCACGACAAAACACCTTGCCTTGTGAAATAATAATAATTTCCAGGTCCAATAGAGAGAGTTTCTCCCTGAGTCATGGATCTCCTGTCAAGTCCCGGAGGCTTCTTTGGAGTCGGTGTCACTGTGGGGAGGGTGACGTTATTATTAGTACCCTGGTGTCACAGGGTGTCTTTCAATGTTTAACTAGCAGGAAACGATACCCGCTCTCTCTCTCTCTCTCTGCCATCTCTCTGGAACAGCAATCTGGAATTCAGGAGCCTTCTGTTAAGAAATGAATAGAGAGAGGAGCAGGCAGGCAGCCAAAGCAATGAATGTTCTTTGTAGATGTGAACTTCACCTTTGTGCAGCTGTTTAACTGAAGAGGAAGTCTGGGAAGATGTTTTGTCTGGAGAGAAGGTTTGTCCGGGGGAGGGAGCAGTTTCCCCGTGGCAAAATGAGGTCTTTTAGCTCCGATTAAACCTGCATTTGCAGGCGTGTGTAAAATAGGAGCCCAAGCATCAGAATCGAAAGCAAGGGCGCAGTGGGGCCAGCACCTGTGTCCTCCGTGCAGCACTTGCAAGAAATAACCCTCCTTTTTGTTTCCTCTTGAAACACGGGAGCTCTTAGGAGGTTTGTGTCATGGCTTTGTTTATTTTTCTCCATAGACTTGGGAAGACCCGGGTCATAAAGACGAGAATACCGGCTGCTGCGGAGATAACGACCCGATTGATGTGTGCGACATTGGAAGCAAGGTAGTGCGCTCCGGAGGGCAGCTGCCCCTTGCAGCGCGTAACCAATATCTCCYGAAGCCAGATCACTTGCTGAATTCTCACGTCCCGCTTCTTCACGCGACGTTTCCCCCTGCGGTGCCTCTGAAGACGGGCCCCAATCCTCTCCTTGCAGGTGTGCTCTCGGGGAGAGGTGATCAGGGTGAAGGTGCTGGGCACGCTGGCRCTCATCGACGAGGGGGAGACGGACTGGAAGATAATTGCTATCAACACGGAGGACCCCGAGGCGGGCAGCTATAACGGTGAGCAGCGGGACAGAGTGAGGAGGATGCACTCCAGGATTCCCAGTTCTCAGCTGGAAGCTTTCAGGTGGGAATACGGACTTGTTACMGAGTCGGTCGCTCCTCCTGTGTGACGCCGGCCCGGGCAGCAGAATCAGAGGCATCCACCAAAACAATGTCCTGCTGTTTGTCACCGCTCCCTCGTGCTTTCACACTCACTCCATCATTTGAATGTAACCCTAGGGGCAGCTCACAGCAACGTAAGCCCTGCAGCTGCAGCCTGCCTAACAGCCCTTGTCTCCCTGGCCAGATATCAGCGACGTCAGGAGGCTGAAACCTGGCTACTTGGAAGCCACGGTGGACTGGTTCAGAAGGTACAAAGTGCCCGACGGMAAGCCCGAAAACCAGTTTGCTTTTAATGGTGAATTTAAGGGCAAGGTAAGGGCAGCAGCTCCGCGCAGTGCCGAGGGACCCCCTAGACTGCGGGAAGGGCTGCGCGTGGGTCGAGACCGACGCGTTGCTTCGGAAGAAGCGGGTGGGAGGGGCGGGAGGCTGCTTTGGAGCAGAGCCCGAGCCTGGGATATCTGCAGGCGGATTCTCTCAGCTCCAGGCTCGCTCGGCGACCTTGGTGCATCCTCTCATCTCAAAGTTAAAACAATCCGTGTGGTAAAAATCCCACCGTTGCAGCGGGTGCTCATGGAGTCCTCACAAAAGGAGGTCTCTTGGGGCACCTTTCCGAGTGGGAAACGGTCTGAAGTCGCCCTGTAAAGGGCAGCCTCTCGTCCGGGTAAGCGGTAGCCCCGGGCCAGCGCTCTAGTTCTTACATGTAACGCGCTGCTTGTCCTCGTTTTCACCCGTAGGAGTTTGCGCTGAGCGTTATCAAAACCACTCACGAGCACTGGAAGGCTTTAATAGCTAAAAAAGCAGCTGGAGGGGAGATCAGCTGGTAGGTAAACGCTTCCCGTACGGTACTCGCTCCCTTCCCCTAAACAAACAAGGCTGCGGCTTGCTTTCCTGACACAGCCCTGCTTCCTGCTGGGAGCTCACTGCCTCCTTCCCCTGAAATCCGGGGAGTCCAAACGCTGCGCGTTCCGTTTCCTAGCTGGGCGCTCCCGGGGAACCCGGCCTCTCTCACGGACTGCTTCTCCCTTCCAGCACGAACGTGACGGTGTCGGGCAGCCCCTTCTGCTGCAGTCAGGAGCGCGCGAAAGCCGCGGTGGAGGCGGTGAGTACGGGTGGGCCCGAGTTCCCCACGGGACCAGCGGTGCCAAACCCGTCCCTGCTCGCGGAGCTTCCCCCCGCAAACGTCCCCGCCTCCCTGAGCCGGGTTTAGCAGGGTGAGGTTGATCCCTTGGCTGCCCGGCACCCTCCCGTGCCGCCTCCTCACGCTGTGTTGTTTCAGGTGCCGCCCGGCGAGGCTGCCAACGCCATCCCGCCCGAAGGTAGGGCCCCAAATCCACGCACTTCATCGCGGCACGGCGGGATGACAGAACGAATCCCGGCCGCCTCTTGTCCCTGTCGTGTGGGGGCGGGCAGGGCGCAGCGCGAGGGCTCCGGCGGGATCCTAGGGGCATCCCGAGGCTCCGGGGCAGCCTCGCTCGGGGCGAGGGCGGCTGTTGTGCCGTGGCGCCTCGCTGCGCTCCAGGCTCTGAGCGTTTCTCCTCTCCTTGCAGTCGACAAGTGGTTCTACTACCAGCAGAACTGACGGTGCCCGCGCGGGCGGCAGCGGCGGCCCGAGACCGGCCCTGGCCCCGGCCCCACRCGGAGCTTCGTCCCTAACTTATTGYGCGCAGCGGCGCCGGGGCTGACCCCGGGACCGCGTCTGTTAAAAATAATAGTARTAACAGTAATAATAAATTAAGAATCAGCGAGCGTAGGGAGGGCGGGCGCGGCCGGCGGCACGCGCGCGGTGCGGCAGAACCGAATAAAGCGCCCTCGGCCGCTGCCCCGGCTCCGTTTGGGTCGAATCGCGCCGGATTCGGGGCCGCGCGCCGCCCCGCGCGCGCGCTGACGTCACGCGCGGC